TCTTCTCCTCTTCTTCTTCCTCCTCTCCTCTTCTTCTTCCTCCTCCTCGTCTCCTGCTTGGAAAATCGTTTTTTTTTCTTCTCCTCTCCTCTGCTTTTTCTTCCTCCCCCTCTCCTCTGCCTTTTCTTCCTCTCCCTCTCCTCCTCTTCTTCTTCTCCATGCCAAGCATTAGCTATAGTTTGGTAATGTAGTTGGAAAATTGAACATTGCTAGTGTGTGGAGACGAGCCTTTTTTTTTTGTTGTTGTTGAAACCGGAAAGCAGCGACAGGGGCCTGTCGCAATTTCTTTTTCTTTTCCAAACTCGGAAAGCGGTCTGCGGGGGCTACGACAATTTTTATGTTCCCCCCCGGTTCTTCTCGATGTCTTTGTCTTCTTCTTCCTCTTCTTCCTCCTCCTCCTCCTCTTCATCTCCCTCCTTTATTTCAGAGGCAAGATGTCTGCGGGTTAAGGCGGCAGGGCCAGGGAGCCGTTCAGGGCTGTGGAAGGAGACGAGAGGGAGGAGCTGTTGCCGAAGCACGACATATGGAAATGGATCGACCGGGGGCAGAAAAACGTTGGCAAGGCAAATGGGTCATGGAGGATGCGGTGCAGGTTGTGCTACAAGGAGCTTGATGGGGCCGTCAATCGGGCCATCAATCATTTCATCCAACTATCAGACGGCTCCCGGTGCAAGCATGTCAATGGGGAGATCTTGTACATCATTAACAAAGCACAATGAAAGAGCAAAGATCCCATAGAAATTGTTGAACAGATTGGATGCCCACATGTGGGAGCTTGGGTATCCATCCTCAACACCGAGTGGAACGGGTCTGGAGGACGAGGTCGGCGAGGACGGTTGTGAGGAGGATCCTTGTGGGGATGTGCCGTCAGCGGAGGGCAGCAGGCTTGAGCCAACACTTGCAGGAGATGGTGCAGCAGCGGATGTCCCACCACGACCTCCAAGCAGCAATGCTTCCACGGAACCGGCGTCGAGGACTAGCTACTTGGTCGATGAGCTGCAGAGGGAGATGAACCACGCGGTTGCACAAGTCTTCTACAAAAATGCAATTGTGTTCGATACAACGCGCTCTGATGCCTACAAAAATATTGTTGACGCTGCCGTCCTACAACATGTTGAGGACTGACGAGTTGCAGGGAAGCTACAAGACGACTGACGCCGACATTGGGAAGATCAGGTCCACATGGTCTAGGACTGGATAGACTCTCATGATGGATGGCACGATCACATTGTCAACTAGCAACAGGCCGGTGATCAACTTCCTTGCCAGAGGAGACAAAGGGGCAGTGATAATGAAGAGCGTGGACATCGAAGGGAAGGACAAGTTAGCACCGGCCTTGGCTACGATGTGGGAGGAACAGGGAGTTGGATGTGAACGCAATATGCACCGACTCTGCACAAGTCCGCATCTCTGCTAGGAGAATCCTTGCAAAGCATCCAGACCCTGAAATACGACAGATCCTGTGGGTGCCTTGTGCATGCCACATTTGCAACCTCCTCATGGTGGACATTGCCAGTGTGCCCTGGGTCGCGGAGGTGATTGCACAGGGTAGAGACATGACACTCTTCGTCAAGAGGCATCAGAGGGTTGAGGTAGCTGCACAAGGAGACAAGAGCAGTGGGAAGGCATTGGAGCTCATCACACTGGGGGTCCGGTGGGGGAGACCCGTTTTGGAACTCATTACCTTATGCTGAAGAGACTGCAGCTGTTGGAGACTGTGTGTTGATGGACACAATGTGCAGCAGCAAATGAGATAGGGCCCCGTGGGAGAAAAGCAAGATAGAATGGGCACATGCATGCAGGGAGCTCGTGCGCAATGTGGAGTGGTGAAAGACAGTGGATGCGACTGTTAAACTGCTGGAGCCGGTTTACAAGTTCATGTGGACCATGGACAGCGACGGCCGAATGGGTCCTCACATAAGGAGTCTTGCTGTCACTTTGGAAAACAGAATGAAGAATGCTCCCATGGACGATGACACCAGGAAGGTGGTGATGGAGAAGGTGAAGCAGCGCATGGAGATGATGGCGCTTCCCATGCATGTAGCAGCATACATGCTGCACCCTGCGAACCGTTCTGCTGATCTGTTTGACAACCTAGAGGCACCAGTCATACACAACACTTTAGCCCACATTGCGACGATTTATCCAGCTGGGACGCAAGCGTACAAAGATTGTTGGGATTCACTGTTGAGCTTCCAACAGCGGGACCCGGAGTGGAGGGGCGAGCAGTCAAAGGAATACCTGTCCAACAAGAGGATCTCGATGGCACAATGGTGGATGACTTACGGTATGAAACACGTCAAGTTGCAGGGCATTGCCATCAAGGTCCTCGGCATGTGGATCACCTCATCCCCGTGCGAGAGGAATTGGTCGACATTCGACCTCGTGCACACCAAGAGGTGCAATTAGCTGTCTCTTGAAATGTTGGAGAAACTCGTCTTCGTACATAATGCTGGAGAAGCTCGTCTTCGTACATTGGAACACCAAACTTCTTTGGATGTCGTGGTTGAAGAGAGGTTACGTGAACACCGAGCGGCTCGATTGGGAGACTCTGGAGGATGGGGAGTACAATCCCGAGGACGTGGCAAGACGGGCCGCGAATTGGTCGAGATGAGGCAGTCGCTTATCGAAGGCAACAATGCTTGACATTCAGCCTATTCTAGACGAGGTTCAGGATGACGGAGCATGGTTGGCTACCCAGCCTTACATGCTCCTCCGCTCAGAGTGGACCGTGCCATGTTAGTGGAGGATGTTTCGGCGGATTCGGACGATGATGATGAGGAGGAGGAGATCACTGATTCGCCTCTTCAGTGTCACAGGGCGAGGATGATCACGTCACGCAGCGCGCATGAAGATGACAATTTGGCTGGTGGTGTTACCACTACTCCTGCATCCCCGGTTGACGGAAGTGCAGTTGGTGACGCAGGTTCTTGTGTGACCACTTCTATTGCTCATCATGCTTCTCCAGCCGCGTCCATTGGTGGGAGATCAGTATTGCAACGTGGCACTTGTGTTGGTGGCACGAGTTCACCTATTGATGGTGTTCATGGGAGCACTGCAGTTGGTGGGAGTTCGACCATGCACAACAACAGTTCTAGTGTTCCTTGCAGTCTGGCAATTGGATGGAGCTCCATAGTGGACGGTGGTGTTGCTCTGGGTGTGGCCTTGAGTGATGGTGGTGCAGGTTGCCCTGGGGACACAGCGGATGTGCCTGCAGGGAAGGCCAGTGCTGATCTTGATGTCAACATGAGTGACGCTGGCGGAGAGTGTCATGAGGACACCACCACCACACCTGCAGCAGATGTGTTCGCTTCACTTATCCCTTTCATATCCCCTGAAGATTGCACGATTTCACCGTCGAGTTCCCCCCTCCAAACGGACAACGGGGACAGCAATCCGCGTCGAGGAAGATTGAGCAATGATGTCCCATGCTTCAATGAAGAGAGTACGCCCTCATCAACTGCAGTACACAGCGGGATGAGCCCAAGTGATGGACACCAGCCTGTTGTCGTTTTTTGCGCAAGGATTTCCAGGAAGAGAATGTCCCCGCCTAAAATTAACCAAGAGGTTGTGCGCACGGTAAAGAGCATGGCTGGCCGAAAGAAGGGATCGAAGAACCAGGAAGTGTCGAATAAGATGGATGTGGCAAAGGAGAAGGACAAGTCAAAGAAAAAGGACAGCAGAAGAAGAAGGACACGCCAAAGATGAAGGACAAGTCGAAGAACAAGGACGCAGGAGAAGTCCCCTCGTTAGGTTCTAGACATCTCACTACTGGGTGAACGCCTTCACATGAAGAGAACACCCGGTCAATATCGTTGTATTTAGACTGGAAGTTGCCCCAAATACTGGTATAACCACTGGCTGTTGTATTCAGATGAGACCGTAGACTGTAGCCAGAGATGTTACGTGGCTGGTTGTCATGTTTTGCAAAGACGGTTGCCAGGCAATGGTGGGAAGGGACCGACTACGACGACGTGGGGCGCAACGCTTCCGGGAGCGCTGCGGCCTGCCGGGTTGATACTCTCACACGGGCAGTCCTGTGGCGCCCTACAGGTTGGAAACACACGAGCACGAAGTGACCGCTGGGTATGACGTGGACAATTTTGGCATGTCGGTGCGTTGGTGATGGGGTAGTGATGAAGTAGAGATCGGACAGCGAGAGGGAAGGAGGATGGAGCGTGACTCGGTGTTGCCTGCCTTTTGAAAGCACTTTCGTGCCATCTCCGGCTTTGCGTTTCATCCAGTGGTGTTACAGGTTAGCACGTTGGGTGAAGGGGAACTTGCCTTCGACAGGATGTGGGTCTCCTTGAGAATTTCAGCCTTCTTATGACTTCTGCTCCTTGGTATGTGTAGTGTTGTGGTAGGCGGTTGGTTTGACGCGGGCGGAAAGGAGGAGCGTGTGCTTACGTAGAGCGGGAGGAGGATTGGAGGCGATATCGAGTGCGTTGATTTCATTTTTTTTGTATACATCTCTGTCCTCGACAACACTCTCGCTGATCACCACCAGCACCAGCATCGGCGTCATTATCATTAGGGTGCTGCTCGTCACCATCATCGGCAACAGGGTGTGATTTGACATCATCATCACGGTAATGGTTTGTCATCATCATCAGGTCGCTGCTCGTCATCACCATCATCAGCATTAGGATACTGCTCATCATCATCATCAAGGCGTATGCCTTTACTCCTGTTCGGCGCTAATATCATTACTACTATCAAGGAGTCGTGCATCAGGGGAGCTGCTCGTCATTCACTGTTGTATCACCATCGTCAAATTTCTCTCCATCATACGGCACGGGTGGCAAAACTTGACGGCATCATACGACTCCGCTCATCATCATCATCATCATCATCTTTAGGTTATTATCCAAAGAGCTCGTCATCACACCATCATCATCTTGTAGTCATTATAGGGCGCTATGCCTCATCATCCTTACCATCATCATCGTCATCATCATCATCATCATCATCATCATCATCATCATCATCATCATTATTACTGACATCACCATCATTATCTTCATCATCATCATCATCATCATCATCGCTATCATCATTACTATCATCATCATCATCATCATCATCATCAGTTTGTAATCATAGAGGCTGTTGGTGCTGCTCTTTGGTATGATCAGCATCATCTTTTTCGTTTTCATCCTCATCATAATCATCATCATCATTATCATCATCATCATTATCATCATCATCATCAGCAGCAGCAGCAGCAGCAGCAGCAACTTATTTTCAATTAGATGTTGCTCTGCATCAGCAGGTGAGTTGGTTGTCACCACCATTCTCATTATTATTGTCTTCAGGGTGCTGTCCATCGTCACCAACAAAATCCAACAAAATCCAAGCGAATGATATTTTGGTTAGTGTGTCATCAATAACCGTAGTCGGCTGGATCGGATTGTTCTCGGAGGGCTGAACGGTGGGAAGGGGTGGGGGGAGCTCTATCCTGCAGGGGCATCGCAAGGTGGGGGGTGAATGTCTCAAAGAGGGTAGGGGCGGAGTAGGGGGTTGCCTTATTCTAGGGCAGGGACTGTGGGTGGGTCCATAAGTCCCTCCGGAGGCAGAAATGGGCAAGGGGCGGAGGGGAATGCTTTAGGTGGGAACTGCGTGCTCCTGGGGAAAGGGGGGGAGAGGATTGGTCCTATATTGGGGCCAAGGGAGGTTGAGTGACTCTCCTCGGCGGAGGCAGTATAGGGCTGAGGGGGAAGGGGGAGGGGGAGGGAGGGGCGATCTCTCTCGAAAAAATCTATCATCCACTTTACTATAGCTTTCCATTTGGTTGCCTCTCGAGGAGGTTGTAGGAATAGTGTTATCTGGCAAGCCATCTGTGATCCTGCGAGGGGTAGTTAAAAAGTCGGTGGCCCTCGAAGACCGATGCTGGAGCAACACTGGTCGGAGCCGGAGCTAGGTGGCGCAACTCTGTGACCTAGCTTAGTGGGGGCGTGAGGCCTGGTAGAGAGCTCTGGCGGCTGTTTGCGGGGGCAGTCCCAGTGGTCATCGGGGGTTGTAACTGGAGCAACGCTGGCCGGTGCTGGAGCAAGGTGGTGCAACTCTGTAACCTAACTTGATGGGAGCATGATGCCTGAAAGAGCTTCGGTTCATGCTAAAATTAACCATGCTGGTTGTGGTCGTAGGGGGATTGAATAGGTTTCACCTATCGGATTCGTGATGGGAGGCTTATTGACACACATATTTTTTTGACTTGGCAAAGTCTGAATGGAAAAAATAAGGCAGTTGTTCTTACGAATGTCTTAGGACTTTAGGGTTTCTTAGCAATCCATCTTAGGCAGTTTTGATGTTGTTATACTCAATGATCTGTGCCCGTTCGATGCCAGAACGACGTTGGCCAGTGCTGGGGTGTTGCCTTGTAACCTACTGCTGCAGGAGCGTGAGGCCTGGTAGAGAGATTTGGGGATGCTTTGGGGTGGGCATCCCAAGGGACGACCAAGGGTTGCTGCTGGGATGACGCTGGTCGGAGCTGGGGCGAGTTGTGTTGCCCTGTAACCCAGCAGGGTGGGGGCGTGAGGCCTGGAAGAACTCCGCAGGGAGTAAGACGGTGTTGGGAAGTCTTAGAAGGGTTTGTCAGGGGACCTGATAGTAGTGAGCATTCGTAGGACCTTTGTTTCACAGTTTGTTCTCAACCGAAGCCGGGTAATGGACCCGGTATCTCAAATGACCTCAAAAGACCTCAAATGTTCTCAATGATCTGTATAATTCGTTATGGGACGCTGGGCCCGATTCCCAGCACGTGCTGCTCCCCACGAATAGACTCGAGCATTTKTTCAAAAAAAAAAAAAAAAAAAAAAAAAAAAAAAAAGTTCATCAATTTATTATTCATGGTGAGGAACGCGGGACCGAGGGACGGTAGGACGACAGCGCTAATTTCGTGCGCTAATCGCGGGCGCTAAGCGTCGCTTCGGCAGCGCTTACTGCTAAAGCGCGGTTAGGGCAGGAACTAGCGCTGCCATGCCCTCGAAGTTGCCTTGTTCAACGCTTCGTCTTCCACATACGATGTTTGGCGGGCTGTTTGTCGAGTTTTCAACGCGAATGGCAGATCTATGGAGAGAAGCGGCGTCCTGTTTAAGCATCAGGCTCTGCATTGTGGCAGTGGTTCCCTTTGGTCCAGGGAGGGAGCAGGTGTTTAACGTCGTGCTGTTCTCCAGATGACTACGTGCACATGGTTGTAAGGGTAATCTCTGTTCCTCTATAAACATTGGGGGTTGGTGTTTTACCCGATTTCTCTCGGTTTATTGAGGCTTTAGGTTTGTAGGCTTTGATGATTTAATTAACGCGAATCGTTGTGTTATTGCTTGACTAGTGATTTTCTTGTTCTTTCCTTCGCAGAAAAGTAGACATGGCGGCTATGTTGCACGTAGGCTGCGGCCTGGTTCTGCCACGACCGAGGCCGCCGGCCTAGGCCGGGGCCCCCCGGCCGAGGCCGAACACGGCCGATAATTAAAAATAAAAAAATAAAAATAAAAAAAAAAACGGGTTTCGAGTGGGGCGGGGGTCCCCTACCTCCTCGCAAAAAAAAAAACATAAGAACTTAAAAAACGGGGGGGTGGGTTTCGATGACTTAAAAAAAAATTAAATAAATAGAAAAAAAGGGGGTTAACTTTTTTTTTTTTTTTAACATCTCATTTTCTTGCAAACAACAGATATTCATTTCCAAAAAAAATACATGTAAACTTAGGGACCATATATCTCAATTTTTTTTTTTTGTTGATTGATTGATTGATTGATTGATTGACTGGTGGGGGAGGGTCTCACCCCCCGCGATTGATTGATTGATTGATTGATTGATTTCTTTATTCGATTTTTTTTTTTTTTTTTTTGATGGATTGATTGATTGATTAATTGATTGATTGATTGATTGATTGATTGATTGATTG